TGAGTTCCAGACCCAGTGGCTTAAAACTCACACCATGCATGTCCGTGTGTGTACGTGCCCAAGATCCCTGGAGGAGAAGGGATTGCTGCATGGCCATCCCCCTAAGGGGGTGATTTCTCACGTTCTGTTTTTCTCTGTCTCTCTGATGAGCACATGCACCCCATAGCAAAGGCCTCTCTCTCACTAAAAAAAGAAAAAGGAAGAAGGTGTGGGCTACCCCATGGCCTGGTGGTTAAGGAAGCCAGATCCCACATGGCTGACTGTGGTTCAAATCCTGACCCTGGTGGCTTGGAAAACACACCGAGTGATGCCCCAAGCCCCAGCAGGTGGAGTGATGGAAGGGAAGGGATTGCAGTGACTGAAGGCCGTTACGAGGTGCTTTCTCCCTCTCCCTCTGTCTGGCAAGTGCATATGTCCTTTGGCAATTAAAAAAAGGAAAAAAAAGGGGGGAGGAGGGAAAGAAAGCAAAGACCTGTATGGGAAAATGGGAGCTCATGACCGGAGGTTTTAGCAAGAGGGTGCTACAGCCACGCACAGCCTCGGGGAGTAGCCCAGAGCTGCTGGCTCCGTGTCGCGGAGGGTATCAGAATGACCCTGGCCACTGGCCATCATGGGGCACTTGTCACCAGGGCCAGATCTCCTCACCGCCTGCTAGGCAGTCCTTGAAAGGAGCTGCCCGTGTGCCCTCACGTCACCTGCTGGTTCTGCTCCCTGGTCTGCCAGCTCGGTGGCCGATGGCCGAGCTGCCCCCCACCCTGGAGAAGTGAGGGGCTAGGGTTGGAACCGGCTGGAGGGAAGCAGGAGGCGCAGCCCGTTCTCCAGCCGGGGCAGCTCACCCCGGGACCGGGAGACGGCGAGCCTGTCCGGCCGCTGTGACTCCAGCACCACCCAGTCCCACAGGAATTTGGATCTGTTTCTGAGCGGCCGGCTTTGAGGCAGCAGGCCTTTGGGAAGTGAGATAAGCCGATGTACACGTGTAGTGATAACCCTCTTTAAAGGACAGCAACAAACGCTTTCACCTGCTCTAGGATGGCGTCTGATAACCAAGGGCAAGTGGCAGCTCCGCCGGGCGGCCCAGCAACGTCCCCGGCACCGTCCCCGGCACGTTCTCGTGGCTCATGGCGTGTTGTTCGGACCCAGTGCCGGTGCTCAGGTGTGGCCAGCCTGGGCTTCGAACTTAGGAGTCTCACTGAGTTCTCTCACATGGTGACCGGTTTCTGAAACACGCTTACTCACAGAGACGACTGCCCCTGGGGGCCGCAGGTGCCCCGTGAGAGCGCGTTTGGCTGGGCCTGCAGGGCCCGTGAGGGGTTCCTGGGACTCTTACCCAGTGACAACGTGGTCGCCATTTACCATCCTGCGGGTGCAGCTCTGGGGTCACCAGGGCACCTGACCAGGCACCACGGATTGCTTTCTATACCTCCGCCCTCGTCCCGGGAGCACCAGGCGGGTGGGGACACTGGCTGCGTCTCTGTAGGAAGTGGAGGTATCAAGCTCACAGCCCTGTAGGGAAGGGAAGCTGAGGGACCCGGGCTAGTGTTCCGGTTCCAGCCTGCTTTGGGGAAGTTATAAGACGACAGCTCCGAGGTCCGGCTTCCTTATCTAAGGATGAGGGAGAGTAAGGGGAATTTTCTCCATGACGTAACTTTTCTTTTCTTTAGTTCTGCCGTTGGACACATGTGCTCACCAGAGAGACAGGGAAAGTGAGAAGGTGAGAAATCACCCTCTGGGGGATGGCCACACAGCAATCCCTTCTCCCCCATTCTCCTCCCAGGATTTTGGGCACGCGTGTTCGTGCGCCTGGTGTGAGTTTTAAGTCACTGGGTCTGGGATTCGAACTGCACAGTTGGCCGTGTGGGATTCGGCCATCTTCAACTCCACACCACCAGCTGGCCCTCCATGACTTTCCAACACCGATAGCCATGGACCCGGGCCTTGTGTGGAGTCCCCAAAGGGTGGGGAGGATCGGGACACGGATGGAGCTGTGAGGGACCTGGAAAGAAGCTTCCATGACGGCCGAGCTGTAGCAGGAGGGGCGGGCTTTATGGTTTCTATTTTTAAGAGAGAGAGTTGGGCCAGCCAGGTGGCACAGTGGTTAAGATGGCCGGACCCCACGTGGCCAACTGCACGCTTCCCAGACCAAAGGCTTGAAAAACACTCCTGGCCTGTGCACGTACACTCGAAGCCCTGAGAGAAGGACGGAGAAGGGATTGTGGCGTGGCCATCCCCCCTGGGGAGATTTCTCACTTTCCCTCTCTCTGTCTCTCTCTGGTGAGTGCATGTGTCCTACAGCAAAAAATGAAAGAGACAGAGCCTTTGTTGCTAGGCCAGCCTCGAACTCACAATCCTCCTGCCTCAGCCTCCCTGGTAGCTAGGATTTTTTAAAATTTTTAATTTTTTTGGAGAGGTCTTTGCTACAGGGCACATGTGCTCGCCAGACAGACAGAGAGACAGAAAGCGAGAAATCACCCCCCAGAGGGGAGGGCCACACTGCAATCCCTTCTCCTCTATTCTCCTCTCAGGATCTTGGGCGTGCACACACACGCGCCTGGCGTGAATTTAAGCCACCAGGTCCAGGACGTGAACCGCGGTTGACTACGTGGGAGTCCAGCGACATAGTTAGTATGCGCTAACTGCTGGTCCCGGTAGCTAGGATTACAGACACATGCCGCTGGGCCAATCTGGAGGTGGTGATTTAATGAGAGAAATACAAAACAAGTTGCTTCCCATTCTGGGTAGAGGTGCAGGCAGAGGATGTTCTTTATGTATATATGCAGCTATAGCATTTCCATGTTCTGGGCTGGCTCTGTGGTCTGGCGATTAAGGCAGCTGGATCCCACGTGGCTGACCCCACGGTTCGAGTCCCAGACCTGGCAACTTGAGAACCATTTATCTAGTTGTGTGTGTGTGTGTGTGTGTGTGTGTGTGTGTGTGTGTGTGTGTGTGCCCAAACTGTGAAAGGAGGGAGAGCTGGAGAGAGGGGATTGTGGCGTGAACAGGCCCTATGGGGAGTGCTCTCCCCCTCTGCGTCTCCATCTCTCTGTCTCTTTCTCTCTCTGGCAAGCCCATGTGCCCTCTGATAAAATTTTAGAAAGTATATGCAGGGAACCAGCAGTTAGCGTACTGGCTATGTCACTGGACTCCCACGTAGTCAACCGCGGTTGGCGTCCCGGAGCCGGTGGCTTAAAACTCACACCGGGCGTGTGTGCGTACGTGCCCAAGATCCCAAGAGGAGAATGGAGGAGAAGGGATTGCGGCGTGACCATCCCCCCTGGGGGGTGATTTCTCACTTTCTGTCTCTCTGTCTCTCTCTGTCTGGCGAGCGCACGCGCCCTATAGCGAAAACCTCTCCAAAAAAAAGAGAGTCTATGCACATTCTTACTTGTGGTCTTTTAAGTTATGAATTATAATAAACACAACGTTTTCTGTCTTAATAAATCAAAATCCCTCCCTCTTTTTGGTTTAAAAGGTGTTAGGTTCTGTGGGTTTTATTCGCACCCTTTCTTTTCCCCTCCTCTCCACTCCTCTGCCTTCACACTGAATTTGAGACGCCATCCCTGGGTAGGATTCCAGCAAGGGTCTGCTCTTCCAGCTTGGGAGTTTATTTTATGGCTGGCAGGTGATTGTGTTAATATGAAATAAACCCTAGGTTAGTAAATAATGTGATTGTTCAAGATTAGTCTTCAAAAGACGACAGCCATTCTCTTGTAAAAATTTAACCTTATGGCCAGGAAGTGATTTGAACCTTGGGTAACTCTCTTGGTGCCTCTTACTCACTCAGAAGCAGGCCCAGAGGTGGGGATTACAGAAACCCGATTCTCTGCTCACTGTGATCACATAGATCTGGAAAGGAATTCCGTCCTGACAGCATTCCTATGCTAGCTGATCCCCTTATCCCAAACAAGTGGAAGGGCCTCAGCGTCCCGGTCTCCTTCCTGCACGCACCCTGGCACCCTGCGACAGGAAGGACAGAAAGACTCCGGGGTCTAGCAGCCAGAGAGGTGCTGCTTCCTGCTCTGACGAAACCCTCCCCAGGGAGTGCTTCCCAGCAGTCGAAGCCTGTGGTAGCCCCTTGTTTTGAGGGTGGGTTAGAATAGCTATTCCATATTTCATTACATCTAAAGATGCTGGGGCTGGCAGGTGGCGTGGTGGTGAAGGCTCCGGACTCCCGCATGGCCAACCGCAGTTTGAATCCTGGACCTGACAACTTGCTTTCTCTCTTGAGTCAAATTAACAAATTAATTAAATAATAAAAAAGATGCCATGTGTTGTAAGATGCGTGCTTATCCCAGAGATGTTAAAATGGAAGAAAAATACATCTTTGACTGGGTAAAATATATATGGCAAGGCTTTTCTTTGTAAAATTTTGAGTAAATATACGTAAGACGTTTTCTTACCCTCCTCATCAAAGAGGTATTGAACCTAAACTTGGGTAGTCTTTTTCAGTAAAACGAAGCTTTTTCTTTTAGAAAAAAATCAAGGGGCCTATTGGTGGCATGGTAATTGAGAAGGCTGGATCCCACATGGCCAACTGCGCGGTTCATGGCCTGGGACCGACAGCTTGAAAACACGCTGGACGCGTGTGCGTGTGCGTGTGCGTGCCCAAAATCCTGAGAGGAGAAGGGACTGCGGCATGGCCTTCCCCCGGGGAATGATTTCTCACTTTTTCTCTCACTGTCTGTCTGTCTCTCTCTCTCTCTCGCTCCGTAGGGCACATGCCCTATAGAAGAAACCTCTGAAAAGCCAAAAAAAGTACATATAGTAAAAGCGATACAATATTAAAGTAGACAAGGTGTCGTGATGACAGTTAAGCACGTAGCACCCCCCTGCAGACACGTGGGGGTGATGCTGTGTCCGTATCCTATCCCGCAGCAGATGTGCAGCTGAGGATGCCTTCTCTCGCACGCTAGCCCTGCACGTTGCTGGAGTCGAGCACCCTCCTTTCCCCAGCTCTTTCCATTGGTATGTTCATAATTTCCCGTGTCCCCGTTTATTTCCAGATTACTCTCTTGGATGCAAAGCGGAGCATGAACATCGGGATCTTTCTGAAGCAGTTTAAGAAGTAAGCTTTTCACACCGTGTGGGTGTGACCCAGCTGAAGGTCACGGCCCTGGACCAGTGAAAGTCATCCCTCATCCCCTCTGACCTCTTAGACCTCGCTCCACGAGTCCTGGTCTGTCATGCACCTGTTCTCCTTCGTGAAAACATAACTTGGTGACTTAAAGCGCAGGAGAACGGCCTTGGGGCATCCACGCAAGCCTGTTGTGGGAGGGAGGGATTTCAAGAGTCATTCGGTGACCCCCCCCCCTTTAGTGACCAGCTGATGAGTCCAATTGGGTCTGAGGTCACCAGAATAGGAGGGGTTCCCATTAGACCAAAGTGATTGTTTCTCTTCCCCCCTAAAAAGACTCCCGGGGGCTATGGCCTCGTTCAGCCCCTCTGGGATGCCCAAGGCGGTGTCAGGGTGAAAGGCCCTCTGAGCTATGTGTCCCCGGGTCCCGGCTACGTGAGCGCTCACACAGAACTGCGGCCAGCCCGGAGGCAGCGAGGACAGCAGGTGGCGGGGTCTGACTGGGTTCCCACTGGCTGGTTCTCTCGGCTCCAGCCCCGTGCCCAGAACACGCATCGTCTCTCCCCAGGTCCCCCCAGTGCATCGTGGATGACATCCATCAAGGCCGCAGCGAGCACTATGGGTCGGAGACGCTGCGGGAGTTCCTGAAGCTCCTGCCGGAGTCGGAAGAGGTGAGGAATTTGGCGCCTGAGTTCTAGAGGCAGACATGATATGCACTCTTAGTGTTTTCCTGAGCGTTGAAATACACGGGAAGGGCGCTCTCCCCCAGAACCCCATGTTTTCTCACATGAAAGTAGAATGTGGGGCCAGCAGGTGGCACGGTGGTTAGGGTGCTGGGCTCCCACATGGCTGACCGTGGTTCGAGTCTTGGACCCAGAGGTTTGAATCCCAGACCTGGTGGCTTGAAACTCACGCCGGGTGTATGTGTGTGCATGGCGCAAATCCTAGGAGAAGAGTGTAGGAGAAGGGAGTGCAGTGTGGACATTCCCCAGGGGGTGAGTCCTCACTTTCCTTCTCACCGTCTCTCTCTGTCTCTCTGGTGAGTGTGCACACCCTATGGCAAAACCCATAAAGAAGAGAGAAAAAAGAAAAAGAGTCGACTGTGTGGGGCCTGGCAGCAAGGGCGACACCCTGCAAGCCTGACGCAGATGGGAGGTTCCGGGTTCGAATCTGGAGCTCTCCCTGAGCTCACTGGGTACACATTTGCCTGTGATCCGGGGCTGGCTGAGGCTGGGGGTCAGTTGTGGCATGAAGACCCCTGGGGGGGGGGGCGCTGCCTCCCTGCCCCTCTCACTGTGTCTCTCTTGCTCATGAAATAAATAAATAAAAGTAAACTTAAAAAGGAGCCAGATGGGAACCAGCAGTTAGCGTAATGGCTATGTCGCTGGACTCCCACGTAGTCGACCACGGTTCGCATCCCGGACCCGGTGGCTTGAAACTCACGCCGGGCGCATGTGCGTGCGTGCCCAAGATCCCGAGAGGAGAATGGAGGAGAAGGGATTGCGGCGTGACCATCCCCCCTGGGGGGTGATTTCTTGCTTTCTGTCTCTATGTCTCTCTCTGTCTGTCTGGCGAGCGCAAGCGCCCTATAGCGAAAAAACCTCTCCAAAAAATAAAATATAAAAGGAGCCAGATGGTGGCACCACAGTGAAATGCGATGCTCTGTGAGGCAATCCCACGTGGGAAAGTCCCCAGTTCGAGTCCAGGGACCCCCTTCGGTACGCTGGGCACACACTTGCCCAGGATCCAGGACCGCTAAAAGCTAGAGGTGGGTGGTGCCATGGAGACCCCATGGGGGTGCTGTCTCTCTCCTGCAAGAGATAAGTAAATAAACTTTTTTTGAGTAAACATGCCCTGCTAGAATGAGCATGGGCTATGGAGTCTGAACCTAATCTGAGCTGTACCGAAATGGAGAATCTTGGGCAGGGCTCTCAGCTCCTGTGAACTTCGGCTTCCTCACCTGTGACGTGACGCTCACGGTGCTTAAATCCCGAGAGGAGAGTGGGGGAGATGGGATTGCAGCGTGGCCAGGCCTCATGGGAACGCTTTCTCCTTCTCGGTTTCTCTTTTCTCTGCCTCTCTCTGGCGAGCAAGCATATCCTCTGGCATATTAAAAAGAAGAAAAAAAAAAAAAAGATAAACTCCCTGTGCCAGATTTAGGGTCTTGTAGCTGTCTCTCGTCATACTCCTGGGCTGCTCGCTCTCGTTTTCTGTTTGCAAATGAAGTGTCAGTGACCAAGGCCATGATTAATTAATGACATTTATTAATGTTAGTTAGTGGTCTTCAGGGAGAGGGACGTGGAACTAACGGTTTGCCCCAGGTCTGCCATGCTGGACGGCCTTCCGCTTTCTCTTCTGCAGAGACTGAGGGTGCCAGAATGCTTGCGAGTGTGCAGAGGGTTTGGCTCATTTGGGTTTTAGAAAGATCTAGTTGCTCTGGAATCTTACTGCTACTTGGAGATTCCTTTCCTTAGGACTCCTCCTTGGGGCCATCCCACTCCTAACTGACCTCATCTTTTTTTTTTCTTTAAGTAAGGGTCGGATTTGATAGCGCGTGTGAAAGTGCTCTGAAAAGCTCACATTTCTAACTCAGTGAGCGCTGGGCGGTTGCCAGCTTCATGCCAGGAAAAGATGGGGGCCGAATCCAATGTCCTTACTGTCTTCATTTCTCACTTAAAATTCAGAGATGATTAAAAGACGCAGAGGGATTTTCCACAGACGCAAACGAGCTGTCCCACGGCTCCCGTGCTAAAGAGCTCTGTTTCTGGAGCTGTGTGGGACAGTTCAGAGGCGAACGTGCAGGGGGAGACGAGGAGTCCGCCACCCCAGCTGCCTGCAGTCCCCAGGGCCCTGGTCCCCACACAGTGCGCTGACCTCTCCCCCCACCCCCATCCGGCACAGGGTCCCTGGAGATTAGCCAGAGGGTTGGGGTCCTGCCTGCTTCCTGGAGCAGCCGTTCCTCCCCACACCCACCCTCCTGCGCGGGTCACCCTCCGTCTGGGTGTCTGACAGCAGGTCACGGCCCCCTGTTTATATTGCCGCTTGGCCTCAGTGACCACGCCCTCCAGTGCCACGGAGCTTCCCCGGGCAGGAACACCCTGACAGTCCCCGGGCTGGGTGGCACCCCGCCCTATCACTGCACCACCTCCCTCTGAGGACGGACTGGCTTGGTGGCCCCTGGCCCCACCTGCACCCGGGGCTGTCGGAGACCCGAAGAATCCCGACAGAGGTGGGAGGATGGGGATGAGGACGGGAGGAGAGGTTCGGGAATGTGGCAGGGACATGGCAAACCCCACATGGCAGGTGGGGACCTCCGTGCCCGAGCCTGGACGGGAAGGCCCTGTGCTCATTTTAGACAGGAAAGGACGCAGGTCCCAGGCACAAGGCAGGGTTCGGGGGCAAGAATGTACTGAGCCTGCTCAGCCCGGCGCCCGCCCCCAGGGTCGGTCAGAGCCGCCATGCCTTCGTGTGACGTCATCCGTCAGTCCTCATTTACAAGCAGGAAACCGAGGCTTGCAAGTCAGGTGTCACCCATCTGGTGTCACAGGATGGCTAGGTGACAGAGGCGGGGTGGACCTGACCTGCTTCTCTGCCCCCCCGGAGGCCGCCTCCTGCGGAGGAAGGGAGGGCAAAGGCTATGCAAGCTGGCCTCCACCGCTGGCCTCGGCCTCTCCTGCACCTCGCTGAGCTGCAGCATGCCGGGTCAGCAAGTGTCCCTTGAATAATGGCCCTGTAATCTTATCAGGGTGCTGGAACCTGGGGGCGGAAACAGCCTTCTCTCCTGCCGGCCCAGCCCACAGGCCAAGCAAAGCCAAGGGTAATTCACTGTCGGGATTCCTCGCCACAAATCTTTCACTGCCCTGCTGGTGCCTCTTCCCTTAAATCTTCCTCTGCGAGCGAGCGTCAGCCACTTGCAGAGGAAGGAGGTGGGCCCTGCAATTAACCCCTGGGGGTGTGCTCTTGTCAGCAGCCGCCCTCCTGGCCTGGCAAGCTCCCCTGTCCGCTGTAGTGTTGGGGTGCAGCGCTGGAAGGTGGAAGCAGGTGGAGTAGCCCCTGGGTACTCTCCATCGGGGAGGTTGGCTGCAGGGGCCAGCCCAGGGGCCTGTGGGTGGGTGCCTGTGGGCAGACCTGCCATGGCAAGGCCGAGCGGGCAGAGCTTGGGCAAGGAGGCTGTGCATTGGTGTCCTGCGTCTTAGGTGACATGCTTGTGGCTGTTGCTGTTGTGATAGGCACAGCGGGGGCATGATGAACGTCAAGTTTGGCCTCAGCCAACAGAATCACGCCTAATCATGATTAGTAAGTGCTGTGTGATGACAGGGACGAGGACGCACAGTAATTACCGGGTTTGTTCACCTCTTTCTCCTTCGCGGCCACTGCCAAGGGCCGGTAATCCCTCTTAATGAACATAAATCTCGTTTTGAAATAGAATAAAGAGCTGTCTGCATGGCATTTAAATTAGAGACCATGGTTCCAGCAGGACTCTCTGCGATCCTTGTGCATTTTTAACCTCGCTCACGGTGTAGCTCGCGGTTCACAGAAAATTGACCTAGTGGACTGAGCATGCCCTGTTCGGATGCTTTAGACACCAGGCCGTGTGTGTGTTCAGAAGTGTTGCCCTGTGTCCCCGCGCCTGGGTGGCAGTTGCAAAACTCTCATTCTTGGAGGGATCAGAATTCATCCTACGGCTTTCTCAATTCAGAACCAAGGCACTTCACTAAACCGGAAGTGCCAGATGGTCCTGACTAGAGCCAGCACTGCAGCCTGGTGGCTAAAGGAGCTGGATCCCGCATAACCAATAGTATGGTTCGATTCCCGGCCCTTCCAGCTTTAAAAATGCACTGAGCACATGTGTGTACATGCCCCAAATCCCAACAAGATAGAGAAATGGAGGACAAGGGGTCATGGCATGACCATGCCCCATTGGGGTGCTTTCTCTCTTCTGTGTCCTTGTGTCTCGCTCTGGTGAGCACACATGCCCTCTGACAAATCGTAAGGCTAAGAACGCTAAAATTGGAGGCAGCAGGTGGCATGGAGGTTACATGTACTGGACTCCCACATGGCTGACTGTGGTTCGAGTCCCAGACCTAACAGCTTGTTTTCTCACTCCCCCCCCATCTCTGTCTCTGTCTCTCTCTCTCTGGTCAAATGAAAATAACAGTAATACGATGAATAAAATTAAATAATTATTTAAAAATGCTAAATTCACTTCTAAGCTTTACATATAGAGAAAATACAATTCTGTAAGTAAAAACCAGTAGTCTTGAAAACTAATATTAGGATGTGAATTGTGCTATTATATTTCATATTTTCAAATAGTTGAGGAAGATATTTCAGTTTGTGGATCTCTGCAAATATTTCTGCTCTGCTTTTGAAATGTCACTTCCCATTGTTCAAGGGCCCTAAAGCCATGTTAGTCGTCATCCAGGGGGTGGAAGAGAGTAAACTTTACTAAGAATAATAAACATGGTACATGCCCCCTGGCCAGCATGAGCTCACAGAGCTTGAGCTCTGCTGACAGCATGAGCTCACAGTCCACGGAGTCTTGTGGGACGACGCAGGCGTGGTGTGGCCGGGGCCCTGGTCTGCTGTCTCTGTGGGGCAGGCCTGCGGTTTGTGAGCTTTCTCTGTGTCTCCACCCTGCTAGCTGTTCGGCTATAAACCTACATAAAAATTCCTTTTTCTTTTATTAAACAACAGTTGAGGGAATATTTGTTTTTGTATTAAAAACTTAGCTTATTGAAATCAGCAGATGGTGTAATGGTTATGTTACTGGACTCCCACATAGTTGACTGCAGTTCGAGTCCCAGACCTGGTAGCTTAAACTCACACCGGGCACATGTGTGTGGGTGCCCAGGATCCCAAGAGGAGAATGGAGGAGAAGGGATTGTGGTGTGGCCATCCTCTCTGGGGGGCAATTTCTCACTTTCCCTGTCTCTGTCTCTCTCCAGCAAGCACATGCGCCCTATGGCAAGACATAAAAACAAACAAACAAATAAAACCAATGCTTGGTCACTGTAGCTGAGGTTGAAAATAAAAATGAGGAGAAGAAAAGGGTAGTCACCTGCGGCACTGCTTAGTCCTTTTCCTGTGTGTGTGGGTGTGTGTGCGAGGGGTGAGGACACGGGCATCGAATCCCCTAATGTGTAGAGATGGGCTTCTGCTGTGTACACTGGTTTATTACCTGCTCTTTTCAGAGGGAGATATTTTTTATTTTAAAGAATTATTTATTTCATTTTATTCGCCATTACTATTATTTTTTATTTTTTTAAAGAATGATTTTATTTAATTTTATTCACTATTATTATGATTTGACCAGAGAGACAGACAGAGAGAGAGAGAGAGAGAGAGAAAGCCACCAGGCCTGGGACTTGAACCATGGTCGGCCATGTGAGAGTCCAGCACCCTTAACCACCATGCCACATGCCGGCCCCACAATTGATATTATTTTTTAATTTGCTACAGGATATGCTTACTAGAGAGAGAGAGGGAGAGGGAGAGGGAGAAAGCAAGCACTCAGGTCCGGGGCTCGAACTGCAGTCGACCGTGTGGGAGTCCAGCACCTCAACCACCACACGACCGGCTGGCCCTCAAAGGGAAAGCCTAACACTGACCTTCCTGTTGTCGAAGCGGGGCTCGTTTGCAGAGCCCTGCCTGCTCACAAGGTACCGTAGTCCTTCCTCTGAAGCTGTCCCACGTGGCGGGGAATTTGGCCACAAACAGGAGAGCCAGTGACTTGGCAGTTAGGGCAGCTGGAGCCCACGTGGCTAACTGGATCCCACGTGGCTAATGGGGTCCCGCCTGGCTAACTGGGCCCCACATGGCTAATGGGGTCCCGCGTGGCTAACTGGGCCTCACATGGCTAATGGGGTCCCGCGTGGCTAACTGGATCCCACCTGGCTAACTGGGCCCCACCTGGCTAACTGGGTCCCACCTGGGTAACAGGGCCCCGCGTGGCTAACTGGGTCCCACGTGGCTAACTGGGCCCCACGTGGCTAACTGGGTCCCACCTGGCTAATGGGGCCCCGCGTGGCTAATTGGGTCTCACGTGGCTAACTGGGTCCCACCTGGCTAACGGGGCCCCACGTGGCTAACTGGGTTCCACCTGGCTAATGGAGCCCTGCGTGGCTCACTGGGTCTCACCTGGCTATCTGTGCAGTTCGTGTCCCGAACCTGGCGGCTTGTAAAACGCTGTGGGTATGTTGTGCACGCTCAGGATGCTGAAAGGAGGGAGAGATGGAGAAGGGATTGTGGCGTGGCTGTCCCCCAAGGGGTGGACTTTCTCACTGCCCTTTCTCTTTCTCTCTCTCTGTGTCTCTCAGACAAGCACAGGTACCCTCTGGCAAAATTAGAAGAAAAACAAAAATCTGTGTGAGACCAGTGTTAGTGTTTTTATACCCAAAATACTCAGTAAGACCTTTTTCACTTACAACTGAAAGGACCTCGCTTTAGTGACTGTCCACTCTTCTCCCAGCGACCCCACTTTCTGACCGATGCTTAGAGAGAACGTTCATCCTTAGAACCGATCTCTTTCAGTCCGTCCCTTCAGAGCCGTCCTGGGATGCCCATGGCCCCAGCCGTCTGGCTTGTGCAGGGCTGTACTCCCGCATTCGTGGACATAACACTGGTTTTCCCCGTTATATGCTGTGTAGACCCAGCCGATGGGAAGGGTCCCCTTTCTGTCTGAGATCTGCATTTTAGTTCATTTGAATCTAGCACTGAAATTCTATTTTCTTAGAATTCTAAGATGAAATGAATAATCTTTTCATTGCCAGAGGGTGTGCGCACTTGTCAGAGAGCGAGAGCGAGAGCAAGAGAGCAAGCAGTCCCCTCGATGGGGTGTGGTCATGCTGCCATTCCTTCTTCTCCATTTTTCCTTCCTGTGGGGACCTGGACTTTGCATCCACACAGGCTCAGCATGTTTAAAATAATCTTACATGTTGGGACCAGCAGATAGTGTAATGGTTACGTCATTGGACTCCCACATAGTTGACCGCGGTTCAAGTCCCTGACCTGGTGGTTTAACACTCATGCCAGGCGTGTGTATGTGCATGCCCCAAATCCCAGGAGAATGGAGGAGAAGGGACTGTGGCATGGCCATCCTCCCGGGGGCTGATTCCTCACATTCTCTGTCTCACACAGTGTCCGTGTGACACTGGCGGTTAGGGCAGCCGAATCCCACACGGCTAACTGTGCAGTTGTGTCCCAGACCTGGTGGCTTGAAAAACATTCTGGGTACATGTGTGTGCATGGTGTGTCCTATCACAAAAAGCTCTCCGAAATCATCCTCACTATCCTCATCTTAGATTTTAACCCGAAGTGGTTTTTGTCTCTACCCCGTTTCCACCCGTCTTCCAGGTCAAGAAGTTAAAGGCATTCAGCGGTGACGTGTCCAAACTGTCCCTGGCGGACTCCTTCCTGCACTGTCTGATTCAGGTGCCCAAGTAAGTCCCCGCTCAACGTTCTCTGCGGAGCCCCCTTTTCAAACGAGTGACACGCAATTCTACAGTCTTCCTTCTTATTTCTCAGCTATCCACTTCGGATCGAAGCCATGGTGCTAAAGAAGGAATTTTTACCTTCTTGTTCTTCTCTGTACACAGATATAACCATTTTAAGAACGGCTACAAAAGGTAAGGGGGTGCGCGGCCCCTCACCCCATTCGTCTTAGTCACGTGAGCTGCAGTTGATTTCCCGTAAAAGAATTCCCTGTAAGTTAGGGATGGAAAGTTCCTTTTTCGATAGATCACCAAAGGGGAGTGAGGCGTTCCTAAGATGCATTTGAGGTTTATTTCTATTTACTTCGCCCCTAATGGATGCAGACTTGCAAATTATCCCCCTGTGAAAGAAAGTTCCTTTCCTCTCAGTCTCAGGCTTCAGAGGAAATTCTGCTGGTTGCCATCACCCCTGCTCCTCTCCTGGCTGCGACCACCCCTGCTCCTCTGTGGTGGCCATCACCCCTGCTCCTCTGTGGTGGCCATCACCCCTGCTCCTCTGTGGTGGCCATCACCCCTGCTCCTCTGTGGTGGCCATCACCCCTGCTCCTCTGTGGTGGCCATCACCCCTGCTCCTCTGTGGTGGCCATCACCCCTGCTCCTCTGTGGTGGCCATCACCCCTGCTCCTCTGTGGTGGCCATCACCCCTGCTCCTCTGTGGTGGCCATCACCCCTGCTCCTCTGTGGTGGCCATCACCCCTGCTCCTCTGTGGTGGCCATCACCCCTGCTCCTCTGTGGTGGCCATCACCCCTGCTCCTCTGTGGTGGCCATCACCCCTGCTCCTCTGTGGTGGCCATCACCCCTGCTCCTCTGTGGTGGCCATCACCCCTGCTCCTCTGTGGTGGCCATCACCCCTGCTCCTCTGTGGTGGCCATCACCCCTGCTCCTCTGTGGTGGCCATCACCCCTGCTCCTCTGTGGTGGCCATCACCCCTGCTCCTCTGTGGTGGCCATCACCCCTGCTCCTCTGTGGTGGCCATCACCCCTGCTCCTCTGTGGTGGCCATCACCCCTGCTCCTCTGTGGTGGCCATCACCCCTGCTCCTCTGTGGTGGCCATCACCCCTGCTCCTCTGTGGTGGCCATCACCCCTGCTCCTCTGTGGTGGCCATCACCCCTGCTCCTCTGTGGTGGCCATCACCCCTGCTCCTCTGTGGTGGCCATCACCCCTGCTCCTCTGTGGTGGCCATCACCCCTGCTCCTCTGTGGTTGCCATCACCCCTACTCCTCTGCTGGGGTACTCTCTGTGTGGATGTGTGTGTGTGGGGTGTGGTATGTAATCATGCTGGGGTGTGTGTGTGTGGTACGTGGCGTGTATGTGATATGTTGAGTGTGGTACACGTGTAGTGTCTGTGCATGTGTATGTAAAATGTGTGTGTGTGGCGCGTGTGTAGCGTGTGTGTATGTGTGACGTGTCAGGTGTGTGGGGTGTCTGTGTGGGTATGTGTGGCATGTGTGGTGTATCCATACATTGTGCTCAGTTTGCGGTGTGTGTGGTGTGTCTCTGTGTGTGCAGTGTGTCGTATCTTGTGTTCTGAGTATGTGATGTGTCTAGGTGCGTGTATGGTGTCTGGTGTATGTGTGTGGTGTGTCTGTGCGGTTGTTGGGGCTGTGTGTAGTGTGTTGGGTGTGCAGTGTCTGTGAGTCCTGTATATCTGTGTGTGTAGGGTATGTGTGTGTGTGCATGCACCAGGCTGGGGCCCTGGGTCAGTTGCTGGCCTGCCCTGGCCTGTGTGTGTGATGTGTCTTGTGTGTGAGGAGTGCGTGTCTGTGTATGCATGGTGTGTGTGCGTGTGTGCACTGTATTTGGGTGCAGTGTCTGTGTGTGAGGGATATGTGTCTGTGCATGCAATGTGTGTATGTGGATGGTGGTGTGTGTGTATGAGAGTGTATATGTGTGTGTGTGCGCACTGATTTGAGTGCAGTGTGTGTGCAGTGTATGTGTGTGTATGGTGGTGGTGGTGTGTGTGTGTGTGTGTGTGTGTGTGTATGCACCAGGCTGGGGCCCTGGGTCAGTTGCTGTTCCCCCCCCCGGCCTGTGTGTGTGATGTGTCTGTGTGTGAGGCATGTATGTCTGTGTGTGCAGTGTATGTGTGTGTATGTGAATGTGTGTTTGTGTTGTGTGTGTAGGGTGTGTGTGTGTGTGCATGCACCAGGCTGGGGCCCTGGGTCAGCTGCTGTCCTGCCCTGGCCTGCGTGTGTGTGTGTGCACTGTATTTGAGTGCAGTGTGTGTGCAGTGTATGTGTGTGTATGGTGGTGAGAGTGTATGTGTGAGTGTGTGTGTATGGTGGGGTGTGTGTGTGTGTGTGCATGCACCAGGCTGGGGCCCTGGGTCTGTTGCTGTCCCCCCCGGCCTGTGTGTGTGATGTGTCTGTCTGCGAGGCATGTGTGTCTGTGTGTGCAGTGTATGTGTGCGTATGTGAATGTGTGTGTGTGTGTGTGTGTGTGTGTATGCATGCACCAGGCTGGGGCCCTAGGTCAGCTGCTGTCCCACCCTGGCCCATGTGGGTGGCTGCATGTCAGGAGCAGTGTCCCCTCCAGCACCTGCCGTGTGAGTCAGGCCAGGTGGCCCGTGTTCTGTTCTGTGGTGCCCCCACTCCCCTCTTCTGCTCCAGACTCCGACGTCTGGTGGGCTGCTTGGGCTTGAGGGGGGCCAGTGCATCATTTCTCTGTGAAGGTGGCCGCGGGCCTGGGGACTGCTGTCAGCTGCTGGTGTTTCCAGGCCTGAGGGCCGGGGTGCTGCTCTCTGGCATCTACAGCGCTCAGACAGCAGCTGCCTGCTCCTCCCAAGCCTCTCGGCACCGCGGACCCCCAGGTCCCCCAGCCTTCATCCCCCCAGCCCGTTTCCCCTCGGTCATTTTCTGCATGTCTAGTTCTGTGCAGTGTTCCCGTCAGCTGCTCTGGCCCGGACTGAAGTTTTCTTTCCAGCCCATCGTATTGTTCTCATTTTAGAGAAGACACTAGGAATGAAACAGATTTTTTCCCTTTGAATACAGACGCCCTTTAAAATGTCTTCCCACCCAAGGACAATTGCAGCCACTTTGGAAGGAGTGTTCTTCCCGCTCAAATAGAGAGGAGAGAGTGTGTTTTCACATTGAGCAATGCACACTGGTGGGCGCGGGAGGTTTCTTATCTGGTTACCCTTCCCGGCTGGCCTCGTCAGATAACGCAGCATCGGCAGGGATCCAAACCTGAGTTTTCGAACGTAACTCTAGACTCGGTGGAGAATATTAACTGGCAAATACCACACTTTATTATTACTAGACACCATAATTCTAATAGTCGGCTTTCCTTTGTAGCTTTTCAAATATTTGAAAGTGTTAAAATTTTGTTTCCTTTAGACTAAAGAGCTAGTTACTGTAAGTCCCCTTTTGAGGCCTTCAGCCAACCCAGATGCAATGCGGAGCTTTGAGTCACGTGGGGAGATCCTCTGAGTGCTCGGGCCCTGAGGGCTGGTGTTTTGCAAGTTATTTACATGTCATCCCAGCGTGTTTATTTTTTATCTCTTCCTTACTCATTGGGTAAGCAAAACATTGCTTGCTGTTGGTTTTCATAATCCAGAAACATAGCCTCAAAGCCCAGTGGACATACAGGAGAAAAGTTAAAGAAATAATTGCTGAGGGACCAGCAGTTAGCGTAATGGCTATGTCGCTGGACTCCCATGTAGCCGATCGCAGTTCAAGTCCTGGACCCAGTGACTTAAACTCACGCTGGGCACATGTGCATGCGTGCCCAAGATCCCGAGAGGAGAATGGAGGAGAAGGGATTGTGGCGTGGCCATCCCCCCCGGGAGGTGATTTCTTACTCCCTATCTCTCTGTCTCTCTGGCCAGTGCATGCGCCCTGTAGCAAAAACCTCTCCAAAAAAAAAAAAAAAAAAGGAAAAAGAAAAAGAAAAAAAGAACTACAGGGTGAATGAATGCCTTTTCATTCTTCTTTGGTATTTTCCACTGCCTGAAGGTGTTCTGTATGGAACTACTGAGGTCCTTTCTCTGTCGCGTGTTCGATTCTCCGTTAAGCACTCCAGCGTGGTCTCCCAGGACCAAAGGCTGCCCCAGGTGCACTGCACAGCGGGCTGCGTGCGTCCCGGCCTCTGAGTACAGGTTAGGGTTAGCGCCTGTGTTAGACACCCCTGCCCTGCCGGCCCGGAGCCGCAGGCTCCTCTAAGGTGCCCTGCTGTGTTCTTCTCTAGAGCTGATGACCTGCGAGGAGCTCCACTCCATCCTGCACCTGGTGCTGCAGGCCGGCAACATCATGAACGCCGTAAGTGACACCCAGAGCCATTGACTTGTGTTCTCCGCTTTGTCTTTCTGAAGGTTTAACACTCCCGCTTTTTCTCTTGCTTTGTCTTCTTTAGGGAGGGTATGCTGGCAATGCGGTGGGATTTAAACTGTCTTCTTTGCTCAAATTGGCAGACACAAAAGCCAACAAGCCAGGGATGAACCTCCTGCATTTTGTTGCACAGGTATGTGGCCATGATTAATACAGAGGGCGCGTAGGCATCCCTCCTGGAGGCGGTGATGTTTTCTCCAGAGGTGAGGTAGTGTCCCACAGCGTTAGGTGAGGGCCGACAGGTTCCAGGCAGGGTCTGGGTGCGGAAGCTCCACACGCAAATCCCTGAGTTGGGTTGCACCGGGGGCTCGTGGGGCTGCTGGGAGTGGGGAGGCAGGCAGGGAGGCTGGGGAAGGGAGGTGGCTTGGAAGGGTTCCGAGGTCCAAGAGGGGGAATTTGGGTTTCCTGCTTTCCCGGCAGGAGCCCAGGAGAGTGTGTGCTGAGGCTAATGGCACTCCAGGCTTTTTGTTTTTGCTTTAGGGAAGTGAGGCGCCGTGGAGCTAGGGAGGAGTGCAGAGAGATGTGGAAGCAGGGACGCATCTTGGTGGCAGTTGGCTCTACTGTTTGGTGACAGTTGAGGGCGATGGGTGCAGGGAGGGAGGGCAGAGGACTGGCACTGAGCCCTTGCTGGTGGCAGGCTGGCTCTACTTGTGGCCCGTTTTGTATAAAGACCACGCTCCTCTCCCCTCCACGAACCGTGCGTGAAGGCCTCGGTGCCCGCAGGGGCCTGGGTCTGACTATGGACATTGCTGCTTTTTTTTTTTTTAAGCATTTACAGTTTATTTCATTTACGAGAAATAGCTACAGAAACAGGTACTTTTTGTTTGTTTGTTTAAGAACTATTTTATTTAACTTTATTTACTTATTTATTTTTAATTTGACCAGAGAGGGACAGAGTGAGAGGGAGAGAGAGAGGGAGAGAGAAAGCAAGTTGCCAGTCCAGGACTCGAACCGCAGTCGACCGTGTGGGAGTCCAATGCCCTTAACCACCAGGCCACCTGCTGGCCCCCTGATGGTGTCTTTTTAAAGGTTCTTTTTAAAGTTTATTTCTTTCTTCCATGATCGTGGGACAGAGAGAGAGGGAGAGGACACCCCAGTAGACCCTCCTGCTGCAGTCCACCCCGGCCTCCGCCGGCCAGAGTCATGGCCGAGCACGGGGCCCAGGCACGTGCGGGGAGGCCTCAGGACACGAGCCCACGTGTCCTGGGTGGCTCAGCATCACCGAGCATTGCGTCACCGCTGTGCCCATGGTTGGCTGTTTTGCTTCCTTTTTTGACTGGAAAACATCGAGGTAGCTGGGTCCAGAGTGACAGACCCACCGGGCCAGTCACCTCTTTGTGGTTCAACGATTTCCACTGCCTGTCCCAATTCATGCATCCCTCACCGAGTCCCCTGTTCCCGTGACACCGGGACCGGCTCTTCAGCGCCACCAGGAGGAAGTGTGTTGCACGCTTGTTTCCAATGGGAGCTTCAGTGTGGGGTGGACGGGAGGTCCTGCCCGCCCTGTCTTAGCTGGACCTTCATTGGGCAGCTTCTCAGCATCTGCTCATCTGCTGGGGACAGCCATCGCGGAGCTCAGGCCGGGGGAGCGGGCGGGGCAGGAGGCGACTCCGCCAGTGCTCAGCTCAGCGTCTGGCACGGAGGACGCCCACGTGAATGGCCATCTGTGACGGTGCTGTTCTTCCAGAGGCACTGAAAAGCTCACTCTGGGGGCATTAAAGGAGAAAACGTGCTTCTTCTCTAGCATTGGTTACAGACACTAGATGAGGGTCTTGTCTTTGTTTTGTTTTGTTTTTGTTTTTCCATTGCCAGAGGGCACGTGTGCTCGCTGGAGGGAGGGGGAGAAAGCACACCCAGAGGAGTGTGTTCATGCCACAGCCCCTTTCTCCGTCCCGGGATTTGTGTGCGTGTGCCAGGCATCATTTCTCTTTTCTTTTCTTTCCTTTCCTTTCCTTTCCTCTTCTCTTCTCTCTCTTCTCTTCTCTTCTCTTCTCTTCTCTTCTCTTCTCTTCTCTTCTCTTCTCTTCTCTTCTCTCCTCTCCTCTCCTCTCCCTTTCCTTCTTTCTTGTCTCTCTCCTTCTCCTCTGCTCTTCTCTTTGCTTTTCTTCTTTTGGAGAGGTTTTTGTTATAGGGTGCGTGCACTCACCAGACAGACAGAGAGAGACAGAGAGACAGAAAGCGAGAATCACCCCCCAGGGGGGATGGCCACGTCGCAATCTCTTCTCCTCCATTCTCCTCTCGGGATCTTGGGCACACATGCACACGCGCCTGGCATGAGTTTTAAGCCGCCTGGTCCAGGACTCGAATCGCTATTGACTACGTGGGAGTCCAGTGACATAGCCATTACGCTAACTGCTGGTCCCATCAGGCATGATTTTCAAGCTGTCAGGGTTGGGATTCAAACCACAGTTGGCCATGTGGGATCTGGCTCCCTAAACCTCTAGTCTACAGGGCCTGGCCAAGAAGGAGGGTCTTCAGAAAGTTTATGGGGAGTACATATATTTTTTTTAAATGCATGGTTTTCCTTTTTTTTTTTCACACCCAAATAAACTCAGACCTTAATTGTATTTTTCTATGAACTTTTGCAGTCCCCTTGTATTTTGGCAGAGTTTTCCAGGTCCCTGCGTGTAGTCGCTCTGGGTGACACGGTCCCTGCCCCTGCGGGGAAGCCCCTGGGGTCCGTAATTGTTCTCTGCCCACCTGCCTAACTCTCACCCTCCAAACAGGCGAAGAATCCAGCTGCCTCCGTGGCTTGTGCACCTCTGGTTAGACTGAGTTTGCGAACTGGTTTAGCCGCTGACGGCATCTCGGCCATGCGCAGACCTCCGTGGACAGGTGCTATACAGGCAGGACAGGTTGGATTCTCTGAGGGCCCTGCTGAGCTGCCGCCTCCCATTGAGCACACGCGGTATTGCGTGTCCAGATCAATTGCTCTGGGAACAAAAATGTGTCTTGAGCTCAGGGAGTTCTGGTAAACCTCACTGAGAACATTGGTTCACGCCTCAATGAATTGCTTTGAATGCATCTAGCTTAAAAAGAGGAGCAATGGGACCAGTAGATGGTATAATGGTTATGTCGCTGGACTCCCATGCAGTTGACCACAGTTTGAGTCCTGACCCTGTAACTTAAATTTCATGCCAGGCGCGTATGCGTGTGTGCCCAAGATCCCGAGAAGAGAATGGAGAAGAGATTGCGGCATGGCCATCCCTGCTGGGGGTTGATTTCTCACTTTCTCTCTCTCTGTCTCATTGGCAAGTGCACATGCTCTGTAGAGAAATCTCTCTTATAAAAAAATGTAAAAAAAAAAAAAAAAAAAAGACGAGCCGTGTCTTTTGAGGTTTCTTTAGGCTCTAAGAAAATTGTTTTGGGGCCAACCCCATGGCTTAATGGTTAAAAGAACTGGACCCCACATGGCCAACTGAAGTTCAAATCGTGGCCCTGGTAACTTGGGAGACATGGCAGACACGTGAATGCATGCCCTAGGTCCTGACGGCACGGGGAAACCGAGGAGGGGGATTGTGCCTGACCGTACCCCAGCGGGGGTGCTCTTCTCCCTCTCCCTCTCTCTGTCTCTCCATCTCTCTGGCAAAGGCATATAGTTTCTGGCAATGTGCTAAAATTGTTTTCTTCTAGTTCTATCCATACGGTAAGAGACAGTTGCGCATTTCTTTCAGGAAGCCCAAAAGAAAGATGCCGTTCTTCTAAACTTTTCAGAAAAACTGCAGCATGTCCAGGAGGCTGCTAGGTAAGTGAGGAAACTTGGCGGTGAAGTGTGAGGGTTTGGGGTTTGTTTGGTCACCTGCCCTCCTCAGAAAGGCGATGAACAGTGACAACTTTCGGATGCAAGTCTGGACATTAGAAAGGGTGTCCAGTTGAACTTCTAGGTCTTCTCTCCATTTGTTTTCCAGAAGTCTGTGTGTAACCTCTGCAACTTGGGGATTCTGACATTTTTTTAATGTTTATTTTTAAACCAAAAAAACCTCCTTCAATCTATTCTAATGGATATCATCAGCATTATAAAAATACGGATTAAGAACTTCAAATCCCTCCACACCCAAAAAATGCAGCTCAAACAACACACTTTGGGAGTTGGTGTGCATCCATCAACTGTCAAACTCTCCGGGCTGTCCACCTCTAATTCCTTGTAGAATTTCCCGTGGAGTATTTATTTTCTATTGCATTAAAAGGGGTTGGAGCCAGACCAACAACCGTGAAAGGATTTTATTTTCAATTAGTCACTCAACATTACAGAGAAGGTGTCTACCGAACATTAAGCTCTGTTTACATCACTCCAATTAACTTCTGAGCCTAACAGAGCTTTGTCTTTTAATGTAATTCTGCAGGTTGAGCATTCCAAAATGCAAAATCCAAACTGCTTCTAAATCCCAACCTTTTCAAGCACCAATGTGGTGCCACAATGAAAGATTCTATACCTGATCTCATGTGATGTGTTACGGTCAAAACATTGCAATACAAAAATATTGTATGGAATTACCTTCCTGCTATGTGTGCATGACGTGTATAGGAAATGGCGATGAATTTTGTGTTTAGTCTTGGGTTCCAGCCTGAAGATATATTATTTTGTATCTCAAATATTCTGAGATCCCCCAAAAATCTGAAATCCAGAACACTTCTGGTCCCTTGTGTTTCAGATAAGGACTGCCCTGCCCATAGCCTGTGTGTACGTGATATTTTGAGTTTTGTGCTTTTAAATGTATAATTTATAATCATGCATTGTGTGATACATCTCAGGCAACCAGCTCTTCAAAAAAAAAAAAAAGTCCTACTTTGTAGTGTTTGCTGCTTTTCATGCCATTAAACACTGTTATCAGAGGCCAGCAGGTGGCGTGGTGGTTAAGGGCACTGGACTTCCACATAGCTGATTGCAGTTCAATTCCCAGACCTGGCGGCTTGCTTTTTCACTTTCTTCTCTCTCTTTCTTACTCTGTCCCCCTGTGGTCAAAGTAAAATAAGTAAAGTTAAATAAAATAATTAAAAAACAAACAAACCCTGTCCCTGTAGGTCTGGCTCTGTGGCACAGTGGTTAAGAGAGTCAGATCACACATGGCTGACCACGATTTGAACACCGGCCCGGCAGCTTGAGATGGGTGAATAGGAGTGGGTGCCACCGGCCCAGCAGCTTGAGATGGGTGAATAGGAGTGGGTGCCCAGGATCCTGTGGGAAGACACGGAGGAAAAAGGATTGTGGTGTGACCATGCCTCATCCAGGGGTGCTTCTTAAGCCCCTCTCTAGTGAGCCCATGTGCCTTCCAGTGGTTGAAAATAGAAACTGCCACCATGGTTGATTTCAAGGCACCTCCCGAGGTCCAGAATGGGGAGAGGGGAAGAGATGGCCCAGCTGGCCCTTGTGAGCCTGCCCAGCCCCAGCTGTGGATGCCGGCCCAGGGCATGCCATTTACCTACGCACCATGGCAGCCACCAACTGTAGACTGAGGACCCCGGCTCACCGTCCCCTGTTGCCAGCATTGCCACAGGGCACGCGTGTTTCCCGCAGTCGGGCTGTCTGTTCCAAGGCGTCGGCAGTTCATAAATCCTTTACGTGTCACCAGCCTGTTCTCCAGAAAGAACGGCCTGCTTCTTCTAAGAGATGAGCTGTTTTGTTCCTGAATTATCAGTGAAATTTGGAAATTTTTTTCCTGACTGGTATAGAGACAGTTAGAGACCTGGCTGCTAAGAGAGTTAGGAGAGAACATACTTTTTAAAAAAAATAGACAGGCTCTCACTCCGTCACAATCCCCCTGCTTCAGCTTTCTGAGCAGTGGGACCCCTGGCACGCACTGCCACACCCAGTAGGGTGGGCCAGGAATCAAGCCGGGCCTCCCCGTGGCCTCGCCTGCTGAGCAGCAGCGTCTACCAGTGCGAACCACCGTGTGGACCGGAGGTGACCCTTTCAAACTGGTATTTCTGGTTAGAATTCGATGGGAACCTTAGCTAAATACTGTCTCAGAAAAGCCCCGTTCAGGCAGGTTTGTTTATCTGAAGTGGAAGGAGAGACTTGTGGAGTGCAGACAGCTCTCAGACGGGTGCCCGGGGCTCACGACGGTGGGAAACGTGATCGAACCATCAGAAGGGAAAACGGATTCTTTTTTTTTTTTTTTTTTTTTACACTTGCCAAAGGTCACGTGTGCTCACTAGAGAGAAGGAGAAGGTCAAAAAGGGGAAAAGCACCCTTTCATGTCACCATCCTTTCTCCTCCATGTCTTAGTCTTCTCAGGGCTTGGGGCCCGTACTAGGCACGTGTTTCAGGCCTCTTGAACTGATCGGCCATGTGGGATCCAGCCCCCTTAACCATTAGGCTACGGGGCCAGCTCTGGCTTTCAGTTTTTGTGTTATGTTTTCATGTTTTTGCCATAGGGCACATGGCCTTGCTGGAAAGCGATAGAGACAGAGAAGGGGGAAAAGTGAGAAAGC